TATCTATCTATCTATCTATCTATCTATCTATCTATTAGCAAACATAGAAATTTAGTTTGCATTTGTTTCTTCTACAATATGTACTTGTTCAAATAAAAATAGTCCTCACGCTGTTTTGCATGCTGCTTCGATCCCCATTGTGGTTTAGAGAAGCGCGGAACAATGTGAACTATGTCTACAATAGTGTCGGTCGAAACGACGCTACTGTGTTGATGTCCATTCAACTTCTCTCATTTCAATTTCTTGCAACCTATCATGTGTTGTCGTTCACTGTCGACCTCCTTGTACCATTGCACAAATCCGAAGTTGTGTTCCATATTACCGTTTTCCGCGGGTGCGTCCACGACAAAAAACATGGCTACTAATACAAACCATGTGCATTCTTTGCCTGTTCTAATTGCGACGTCACTGTGCACTGGTCTCCCATGGAACTGTGGCGACGCTCCTGCAATTTGAACAAGTGTGCCCCTGTTTGTTCCGTCCTGTATGCAAGCGATGACTAGGTGTGTCCGTGTGTGTATAAGCAGGTCGTCAGAAGGAGGTTGACAACCATTCTCCATCATGTATGTCGTAAGCGCAGCTTGAAAATCGCGTCTGCAAGTAAGTTCTTCGAGTATCTTACATACATGGTTGTCAATGCCTTCTCCCTCGCGTATGTACTCGTCATCGATGTCGAACCACCCCAGTTGCAGCATTGTCGTGTCGCGTAGTGCGAGGGTGTTCATTCCGGTGGCCATACAGTTTGTCACGGACGACCGGTTCTCAACCGTTCTCTTCCTCCGTTTCCTCACGATCCCGATCTCTTCGCGACACGCCAATGACCGGCGCACATGGTTTACCATCTGGGTTGAAGTTCTCCGCTTGTTTGATGACAGGTATGGTTGTTTGCAGAATTTCCTGTGGTGATGCTCCCAAACATCTGCCGCGAAGGTATCGGGGACACCGGATCGCTCAATACACGTTGTCAGATGCATGAGATCGTGCAACTTAGGGAGTTTCCATGTTGATGGTTGATATTTTCCCAATTTTCCTTTGATGGTCGTTACGAAGTCCGTGATCAAAGTGTCGCATTCATCGAGCGAAGCACGACTGTGTGTTGTACACCGAAACACTCGTATGTACATTTCCATCAGTTTCACAATACAAACGGTAATGTCCTTGTCTGTCGAGCGCGGTATAATATTAGAAATAAGGAACACACACATTGTCATCACAGACCGGTTTTGCTTCGCCTCGAACCGTCCCTCCCTCGAAAAAGAATCGCTGTCAGTGACCACCGGCAACACAAGTTGGGGGTATGTTCTCGTGCATCTCTCACTAACGCTTTGCAACCTTGCATCTATTTCCTTCAGGATCTCTGTTTGCGGTAAGTGCGACAACTTCTCAAAGGCTGCGGTCCTGAATGAGTCAATCATGTGCAGGAATATGCCGTGCTCGATTGTGTGCATATGGTCTGGTTGCAATGTCAGGTGGTAGTCTAGCTGATGATCGTCACCATTGGGGCCCCTTTAGAACCTCTAAAGGCCGTTCTGTTGAACATGCCTATACATGTTCAACTCCGACATTCGTGTTTCCGCTGCACAGCGAACGTCGATGTCGTCGGCGGTGAACACATCTGCTGTGAGGTGTGTTTCCAGCTTCTTTGATCTCCTGCAGTCTGTGGAATCGGCTATGACATCAAAATCGTTTTTGGACACGGTGCATGTCGGACATACACCAAACTTCACAGTTGCAATCGCACATCGTTCTGGGTAGTCCTGGATATAGTTGAGGAGGAAAGGGTGGACAGTTATGTCCCCGAATCGCGTTGTCGGTATCATTATTCCGTCATGAGATGCCTCCTTCGCAGACTGCAACACCACTGAAAGGGCCTTGTGCAAAATGATGGTTTTTCGCTTTCTGAATGCAGTGGACTGCAGACCCCATCCTTTGTCACGCGGACGATGATGAAGCACAGGAAGATAGGCCAGCAGTGTGGCTTCGGATGCGTGGTCGGCTAGTGACATCATCAGAGGGTCCGCCGTCTGTTTTTGACGACCGTCTGTATGTGTCTTGTCTGAATACAATGAAAGAGGGATAACATAACATGGATTACCATTCCCGTCCACGCCTTTGTCCGCTCGAATGATCGACTGGATGTGATAACTTAGCGCCCCGCTGCGTGGGCCGGATATACTGAGGTGCTCTGACGGCGGAGACACTTCTAGAGAAGACACCGTCTCACATTTCTGTAATGCAATATGAAAAATCGACAGAAATGTCGTTCGCCAGTCATGGTGCCACAAGATGGCGTGCGCATCCCGTGGCCAATCGTCACAACGTAGATCCAACTCTTTCCATCCAGCAGCGTTTGCTAGACTCCCTGCCCATGTCAAACACTCTCGACTATAAGAATACGCAATGTCTCTCGTGCAGAATTTCGGGTCCGTGAGAAGTGACAAGAAAGCATCTATGTCGCTCTGCGACATACCGACGCCGCCCCTGGCGGAGAAAATCAGTGCCGCCAGCTTGCGAGAGCTGTCAAAAGATTCGGCAGGCTGCGGTTGCTGCTCTTCGAATGTCCCGCCCTCGCCGTCTACATTCTCGGGGGGGCCGACGTCCTCGCTCTCATCGCTCACGAGATTCACTGCACTTATACTTGATGCTCCGGCGTCATCGACCACACCCATCTCGTGGCCATGTGTCCTTTCGCCCACCACGTCCAGGCATGCCCTCGCACGATGTGAGTTCAAAGTTCGTAATGACATGAAAGGCCTGCCACAGTCGCACACCCATGGACCGCTGTCCATTTTTTGTGCACGCAGTGCATTCCAAAAACAAACAGAGCGGTGCGGACAGTGTTTTCATTAGCATTTTGTAGATTGGTTCAGGTCGTTCGAATTATAAGTTGCAGAGCATATTTTGTTATATTGTGTAAGTGTCGCACATCCTCTTCTCTGTGAGAAAGAGATAGAGAGGGAGTACTGATTGCCGTTTTTGGTACGAATGGTCTGTGTCGCTGATCCCAATTAACAAAGATTAGTAGTCAACCGTGCGACACGATAATTTATATGTTATGACAGGTTTTATGGTCGTGCACGAAGAGGCAACGACTTACGCATGGTACACTATATATGATACAACATTCATCACCACGGTTTTGCAGCTGGCCAAGTTCGTAACTATCCATCGACGACGTTTGTGAATGTGGTATGTGTTTTCCATGTCCGCGTGAAAATGATTGCACCTCGGCACCTCAGCCGACCTCCGCACAAAGTTCCAAAACATTTCACAACCTACTACATTTGAATTTAAATTACAGAGAATGCAAAAAAAAACACAACATACACACATTGATCATCACAGGGGGTCTGATGTGTCTCACGTACTCCAAAAGGCAACAAATTATGACTTACATCGTAACAATAATCAAATGATTGAAATATTGTTCAATCCTGTGTCTGCACGCTGTAGTGAACTCTCTCTCTCTTGGAGAGGCAAAAAACAAGCATCATTAAATGTAACCCGCACATGGATGTAGAGGTTCTAATATAGCTACAACTCGACTTATGAGAAAGAGAGAGAAATATATATATATATAGAGAGAGAGAGAGAGGAGGTTCACTAGTGCGGGCCAAAACGACAACAAACAGCATCGGTGGACACTGATATGGCACGCAGTAGTGAACCCGACCGTCATTGAAATTGAGGCAGACATAGAGGGATGTACAGGTTGAGGGATGCATGTCTGTCATCATCCCTGATGTCTAACATGGTCTGTCGTGGTGTGTGGGTGTGTCTCCGGTCGCTGCCGTGGGCGAGCACTAACTATTGCGTCTCCTGTTGACAAGCCGGGGTGTAATGTCTCTCCCCAAGCTGTCGCCATTGCGCCGTGTATGAGGCAACTCAGGTTGACTCCCCATGTCAGTGACGTTGCTAGCACAACCTCTCTATTGACCAGAACAAACCATCCCTTGCCAACACGTGACCACTTTTTTCCCTTGTTTCATGATTTCATTATGTTGGTCACTGCGGCATACTGTAGTGCACCATCTGGTGTTGCCCCCTTCATCACAACACGCAACACTTTGTGTGGATCGGAAAAAGCACGTGCCAACCTCAGAATTGTATGTGCCCACCCTTTCGTCACTTGTCCACCCGCAGCCTTCAAAATCATAGTATACATCATGTTTCTCGTCTTTCTCATCGCTGCTGACATCGTTGCCGCTCACTTCCACGTCAGAAGATGATGCCCCCTCATCCCCTTCTTCATCTTCTTCTTCTGCACTGTCTGTGTACTCTGCACAACAACTTGGCAAATCGGTCTCTTCAAATCCACGATCACATTGTTCTTTCTCTATTGTGAAAGCATTGAAGATATCGCAACACACTAGCTGCTCTCTCGTTGCTGTCTGCATGGGAGGCACATCGACTGTCGTACTGGTTATTGATCCTTGTGCTGCTGATGTCTGTCCGTTGTCTGGAATGATTGCTAAATTTGTTTCCGTGGCCATCACCTTCCACCCTTTTTCTCTTTCTCTTTGTCTCTCAACATTGCAGTTTGCAAGACCGAGCCGCTCCAAAGGAGCTGATAACAACTCCCCTCACAACGGTCTGCCAGATATGATGTTGTCTTCTGTTATTGCTGGCACAAATTCTATCAGATCTTGACCCTGCAGTGCAAACTCTGTCACTTCGTGCAACGCCTCATGGATGACGTTCTTGTCGTCGCACTCTTTTTCATGAAGTTCACAAGTTGATCCAGCAGAATATATTTCACACCATCTGCGACAATGACAGTAACATCTTGAAAGTCTTCTGGCGGTGTTTGTGTAATGTCCTTCATTTTGGACAACACCAATATTTCTGCAGCACCACTCTTCAACTCGTCCTTCGACCCATCAACCAGCATTCCCCCATTCCGTGCGACAGTGCCCAGCAACTTGCCCAAGTTCGCAGGTATATATATCCCCCCTGTGTGCTGCATTGTCATGTCCGTGTCTCCTTCTTCGCACATCCCTTCGCTGCAGATCCACTGGACCACTCCTTTTAGACTGTATGCACTATCTTCCACATCGATGTCTACACGTACATGTGGTGACTCTCTGAAGCGTTGCAAGAGTGTTCGTGCTTTGACACAGCCCTCGCCGTTTGCCATGATTGTAAATCTCATATCCACAGCGACTATGAAGTACCTCGGCACCCTGTCCTGAAGCAAAGACAACTCGTTGTCACCGTTGTAGTGGATGCCCTCCTTTGCATACTTCATTACCTCTGCAAGAGCAGCTTCCACTTGTGCTACTGACATCGACATGATGCGTACGGTTTGCCTTTTGTCCTCTTCTCTCTGTCAGCGGAAACGCACAATGACGTCATCGACATGTGTGTGTGTGTGTGTGTGTGTGGCGTCTATGTATGAACCTATGTGGATGTCTATGTGTCTTTGTGTATATGTCTATGGATGTGTGTGTATAAATGGTCTGTGCGTGTGTCTGCGTGTCTATTCCCAAGTTGGTTACTGCGTGCCATTCGAAGTCGCAACGGTAATCATTCGTCATTTTCTGGCACGCAGTAGCCAACTTTAAGGGTGCATGCCAGAATGTGTGTGTGTGTGTGTGTGTGTGTGTGTGTGTGTGTGTCTTTCTGTATATGCATGTGTGTGTGTGTGCATTTGTTATGCGTGTTTGCTTGTGCATGTGTTAGCGTGTCCGACTTCAGGTTGGCTACTGCGTGCCATTTAAAGTCACAACGGTAATCATTCGTCAGTTTCTGGCACGCAGTAGCCAACTTTAAGGGTGCATG